TCCAGTAGTTTTCTTGTGGATTCTTTGGGGTTTTCTGTGTATAAGATCATATCATCTGCAAACAGAGATACTTTTACTTCTTCCTTACCAATTTGGATGCCTTTTATTTCTTTTTCTAGCCTAATTGCTCTGGCTAGGACCTCCAGCACAATGTTAAATAAGAGTGGTGATAAAGGGCATCCTTGTCTGGTTCTCATTCTCAAGGGGAATGCCTTCAGACTCTGTCCATTTAGGATGATGTTGGCTGTTGGCTTTGTATAAATGCTCTTAATTATGTTGAGGAATTTCCCTTCTATTCCTATTTTGCTGAGAGTTTTTATCATGAATGGGTCTTGGACTTTGTCAAATGCCTTTTCGGTCACCAAGTGTGTGGTGCAGGCTCTCACCTACAGTCCTAGATGGGCAGGGATGATTGGAGTAGGCACAGATATCTGGCTGCAATAGGGGGTCACACTCTAAGCAAGGCAGGGGGCTGTCAGCTGCCCCTGAATGTCTGCGAGGAAAGCGCGTACCTGTTCCCTAGAGTGCGTAGGTGGGTGAGTTTTGCAGCCAGACTATGGGCACCCAATGCTGTTGGCCATAATGACTGGGAGTCACCACTTATTCTTGGACCCCTGTCGCAGGTGGCTAGGTAGCGTGGGTGGAGTCACTAGTCCTCAGGCCCCTGATGTGGGTAGGTGAGGACCCTGCTTAATGGACAGAGTGGTGTAAAATGTCATGAACCTGCCACCCCGCCATATAGCTGATATAGTTGAAGTTAGGCTTCAGGTATATACCCTATTGTATTGTGCTACAGAGGGCCTACTCTGTTGAAATGGGCCCGCACAGGTCTATGCAGGGGTGAAAGGCATTCAAAGTCTGTGGACCCCTTATGCCTGTGCATAGGCAAAGGAGCTGTGCCTGCCCTGAGTTTGCGGCTTAGGGGAGCTGGCAGATTATTTTTCCCGTTTGTTGGTTTGTTCCCTCTCCAAGTCCAGGAGAATGACTCAGGGCACGTGACGGGTCCTACTTCTGGCCCGGGGGACGCAGCAGTCGCTGTAGCCAGCCCAGGACCCAGTGCAGAGCAAGGAGGAGGCAGGTAAATGGGAGAGAGGTTCTTCTCAAGCAGTGTGTTTTTTGATCTGCACAGTGAGTTAAATGCATCTACTTATCTTTTGCTAATTGAGCACCTCTTTTCACTGGTTCTGGAGGCTTGAGTAGACTCTCTGCTGCTTGATCACTTCTGATGTGGAAAACATGTCCTGAGAGCCTCTACTTGCCTCAACACGCACGCCAGCTGATCCGGCCTGCAGGATGCTGGTTCCCACCGGGTCAGGTCTGGCCACTCCTCGCTGCTTCCAAACTATCTATCCCTCCCCCTGCCACTCAGTCTGATTCTTCAACTTTTCCTTTGACATTCAGGGCTCCTAGATTGTCATATATAATTGGTTCACTTGTTTTTTTGGGTCTTTGTTGTAAGAGGGACCACAGGAAACATCTGACTAGTCTGCCATCTTGGCCCTGCCTCTCAAAACTATCTTTTTTTTTTAGAAGCATGTGCCAATTTATGTGCTAATAATTATATATTTTTAAAATATAATTATCTATGATTGATCAGAGTTTCTTCTCATGTTCAAAGTTCCCCTTTCATGTGACCACTCGCTTCAGATATCATTCATGCACTATCACCTAGTGTGAAATTGACTTGAGCTGTAAGAAAACGATTAGAGGAAGTGAAGTGCTTAAAGTTGTAATAGAAAAACGTTGCTTTGCTTTCTCAGTGTTACAACCCTAAAACTCTCATGTATGGAAATTTAACCCTAAAATCATTTTATTTGAAACAGCTGTCTGCATGCATATATATACATATATATATATACATATACATATATGCGTGTATATAGATATATGCAGTTATATATATATAAGTGAATCATAATCTTAATTCTATGCATCAGTGTTATAAAGTCAAGCACACATATTTAGCTAGTGTATACGTATGCTAACAGAAATCCAAGCAAAAGAAAATTAGACTTCAATATATTTTTAACTGTCACTGATTTTCTTATTTTAGAGGAAGTGCCAAAATCTGGATACCTCTGCTTTCTTTACAGGGGTAGTGAAGCACATTTTCAGTTTAGCCTCTCTGCTCCCAGTTGAAGCACCAAAACAAATTAAATAGCCTGGTTTTGCCTACATCCAAGTAGTTTCATTTGTTCTGGAATAATTTTTAGGATAGCTTGGTAACAAATTGAACTGAATAAATTTACATAATCCTTGGTGGTAACAGTTATTTCATGAGGTTTCCTACTTTCAATTTCAATGAATGGCCAGATT